TTCCTCCCTTTCCCTCAGGAAATGGGTTAAAAACAGCCAGAAAAAAATAACCAGTAGTCGAGAGCTGGTTGAATCTACAAGGTTGATTCATTAGAGGGGTTTTCTAATCTGGGCTGACTTTAACCTAATTTATTGAGCAGAAGGATTTGAATTCAGTCTAAGCCTCCTTTAATGAGGAGGCCACTCGTGGTTTATTCCACCTAAACAGGCTCCCACATGGGTTAAACCTTTTAGAGGGATGAGCACATCCCTCAGTGTGGCTTCAGGACAGGGGCAACTCCCGAAATTCCTCCTCCAGAATTCCTGCTCTCCTCGCCCCACACAAAGCCTTGAGGTTCCATGGGCAGAGCTGGGGAAACTGAGGCAGGTGGGAGCTGCTTCCCTGGGTCAGGAATATCCCATCCCACAGGCCTCTTTCCCCCCAAAACTGTCATGGGAGAGAGAAGGTTGGCACAAAGGGATGGGAAGGACCAGGAAGGATGTGAGAGCTCCTGCTGGAGAGACAAGTGGGAGATCCTTGGAATGCCATGGCTGCATTCTTATGGATGGATCTTTTGTTCCCCATCCCTGGAAGTGTCCAAGGCCAGGTTGGATGGGGCTTGGAGCAACTTGGGATAGTGGGAGGTGTCCCTGGTTGGAACAAGATGATCTTTATGGTCCCTTCCTACCCAAACCATGCTGTGATTCCATGATTCCCAGAACACTTGAAACCCTGGTAGGGATTTGGTGCCACATCCCAGTGCCAGATTTGTGGATGAGCCTAAAGGACACTGGTCTCTGAATCCTGTCATTGAGGAAGGACAGACTATTCCCGCTCAGGATTGTTCTTTTAATTTTTCCATCTAATTCTGGGACAATAAACCTGCTCTTTAAGTCCTAGAATAAAAAAATCAAGCCATAAAAATCCTGCTGTATCCAGGCAGGGATTCCACAAGCTGCCTGAGCCAGCCAGCAAAGCACTGTGAGCATGGGATGGGATGGGAAAGGATGGGATGGAACAGGATGAGAGCTGCCCTCTGCATCTCCCTCTGGAGCCTTTTCCTCGGAAAGTGGGTGAGAAACCAGTGGGTTTCCTCCTGCTGGGAAGTTCTGGGAAGGAGGCAGGCAGGGCTGTGTGTTCCAGCCTGATGCAGGAGCTGTGCCTGTCCCACTCCCCTTGGACACAGCTGATTTCAAGGCAGGGATGTCTCGATTCCAGCTGGAATTTGGTTCCTGGAGCATCCAACCCAGCGGATAATCACAAAGGTGCCCTTAAACTCTGCTGGTTTCTAACAACTCCCTGCCTTTCCTAAAATGCTGGACACATTCCCACCGTTTTTCCTTTCTCAGAGGGTTTTCACTCCATGTTTTTTTCTTTTTAAATCCACTTCACTGCTCTCACAGTTTAATTTCAAGCTCAGCCGAAGCCGAGCTTTGCTGGGAGTCGTTTTGCTGAGGATCCCGTCTGTCTTTACAAGGAAAAACTTGGATGAGCCGTGTGACAGCAGCTCCTCCAGCTGGGATTCTCTCTCCCAGAAATAGGAATGGCTTCGGAGCGGTGCGGGATGGAGGGAACAAATTCCCAGGAGCCCCTTTTTGGGGCGTTTAGAAACATCTGAGTGGGTTTTAGCTGCAGTTTGCAATTGAAAATGGGAAATAATGAGCTTAAACTGGAGCAGGGGGGGATTTAAAGTGGATGTTGGGAGAAGTGTCTAATGGAGGATGGGGAAGCGCTGGAGCTGCCTGGCTGGGAATGGGGTTTCTCCCTCCCAGCATCCAGGGATTTGGGAGTGGGATAGATGAGAACCTTTGGGAAGCATTGCAAGGTGGCAAGTGGTGGCAGGTGGTGCCTGAGTCTGATTTGATGCAGAAGTGGCCTTTCCATCATCCCAGGGAGATGATGTGTCTCTGTCCTGGTGCTTCATTTTTCCTGGCCATTAATTACGAGGTCATTACTTCTTCTAATTACACAGAACTCTGGTTTTATTCTCCTTCCTCACACAGAGGGACCTCGTGGACCTCAACTCTGAGTCAGCTCAAAGATGCCAAAGAGCTTGTTAGGTCTTGGTGGCTTCCCACTGCCAGAGGGCAGGGTTAGATGGGATATTGGGAAGGAATTCCTCCCTGTGAGGGTGGGAAGGCCCTGTCCCAGGTTGGGCAGAGAAGCTGTGGCTGCCCCTGGATCCCTGGAAGTGTCCAAGGGCAGGTTGGAGCAACCTGGTCTAGTGGAAGGTGTCCCTGCCCATGGCAGGGGTGGGACTGGATGATCTTGAAGGTCCCTTCCAGCCCAAACCATTCCATGATTCTGTGATCTGTGGGGGTTCTGTGAATATCCATCTGCAGCTGGAGGAGCTGTTCAGCTACCAATGTAACTTGTAGGCCTGAAGATGGATTAACCTTTGTTCTGGAGAGAACCAACCTCTGAACGAAGCAGTTTGAAGTCTTTGACTTTGACTTGCAGAAAGGACTTTTTCCCTCCTGCTCTCCTGATTCTGGAAATTCAGCTTTGTGGCTCCTGTCAGCAGCATCTCCTCACCTTCGTGCCCACCGTGGAGAGGTCAAGTTTCCCCTGGAGCTGAACGTGGCGTGAGAGCATCAAAATCAGTCACTTTTGCAAGACCGAAAACCTCAACCTGTAATTAGTTAAGAAGGTCTGTAATTAGAAGGATGGTTCCAGCTGAGGTTTAAAACTCGCCTGCAGCTCAGACCAGCTTGGCACAGCTCGCCTTGAAACACTTGCTCTTGCAAAACACACCCTTTCTAAAATAAGGAGCTGCTGACTTTGGGCTGGGTTGAACTTCAGCTTCACAAAAAGGGTTTTTTTGTTCTGTTTTTGGGTGGGTTTTGCTGAGCCATCAGCACATGAGCCAGAGCTGCAAACCTGCCTGGGGAGAGAACGAAGACTTTTCAGCCTTCAGCCCTTATTTACAGATGTTTTTCCTTGATTCTTGACAGGGGAGCAGCTCCCTGGCTTTGCTAATCCATGTGAGCTCCCGGGGCTTTGATACTGGGTTGAATGGGAGCAGTAGGAAGATGGTGTTTGCTCTTTGGAGGCTGAATAAAAGGCTGTTTGGGGTTTGTTGTTTTTAAGGTTGGGTGGTCAAGGGTTGTGGTGTAAGGAAGAAGCTCAGCAGGTTTATTTGAGGCAAAGCCTGGGGCTAAAACAATCGGTTGGAGTGTTTTTCAGGCTTTCCTACAATGTTATCAGAGCCCTGCAGGTCCTGCTTCCTGTGGTGTGAATCCCCATGATAAAAAAGGGGCTCCCTCTTGGCCTTGGCAGTAGGAAAAGAGAGAAATTGTGCTCTGTCTTGTAAAAATAGTTGCATTAGTTCCATTTTCAGGTTAAAACCCCTTCCTTCTTTGCTGCTTTCATGTGGGGAAGATGTAAAATCCCTCCCCCACCTCCTCTGTCGCTCCCCTTCCCAGAGTTCACCCCCTTGGATCCAGCAGTGAGGCCAAATATTGACTCAAATTCCTCACTGTTTCTCATGCACTCCTAAAAAATACATTTCCTAAATGCTGGAAATGGGGAGAACATTTGGAGTGGTTGGAGCAGGACAGGCTGGCAGCTTTGGGATTAAACACAGACGAGTGGGACAACCCCCTCCAAAGCACCATTAATGGGGAGTTCCAGAGCAGAACCTGGGAAGCTGCAGAGTTTGATGAAGAGGAAGATGAAGGCCATGATGTGAGAACCAGGATGTCGTGGATAACAGTGGATGAATCCCTGTGGGAGCCGTCAGGATCACGTCTCTGGCCCAGGTCTTGTGTCCAGGAGAGCTGCAACGCCTGCATCGGATCAGTTGTAGGGGTGGAGCTGGGATCAGTGTGAGGAGCCTGGAAATGGCTCTTAAAATGCTTCTACCTCCCTTTTTCCTGCTGAGCCTGCGTTTCCCAGGGATGGACACGGAGCAGGATGGTGAGTCGGATCCAAAGCTGGCACCAGCTCAGCCCTGATGACACAAAAATGCTTTGTAGCTGTCCAGGTAAAGCACAGCCCCACTCCCACTCCTGAAAGTGGGAATTGGGGTTGGAAATTTGCATCTGGGCTCCTACTACCCAGATTTCTTTTAATTATTTTTTTTATTCCCCTGGTTTTGGGAGCAAATGCTTATAAAGGAGGATTTGTCCATATTAATCAGGATGATGGACAGGTGAGGCCCAAGGGGAAAGTAAAGTGGTTATTGCACAGATAATTGTTACAGATAATTTATTAGGGGTAAATCCAGTTCTTTCATCCCCAGAATTCCTATTTAAAAGCAGCATTTGCTTATATTTCCTGACTCATTCCCTCTTGGGTTCCCACCCTGCACAAAAATGTCCCGGGGTGCCGTACCCATCTCTTCCCAGCCCCTTTCTGCACCAATCCTGTTGTGCCATCCCTTCTCCTGCGGGTGGGAGGAAATTCCTGCTCCCTGCCAGGCTTTGAAGCTGCTGCAGCGCCCCCAGCACCCCATTTTTCCACCCAAAAATATGGAAAAACGGGGCAAAAGGCAGGTTGTGAGCGGGAGGGTCGCGGCGCATCCCTGGACCCAGCCCTCCTAGGAGGGATTTTCCACTTGAGCTTCAGCACAGCTCTTCCCCTCGGCATATTACGGGTGGATTTATCCCTGCCCTCCCCAAACTCCGGCTTTTCCAGCGCATGTGCTGTTTTATCTGCACGGTGCAGAGTCACCCACCCTCCTGCAGACGGGCCGGGGCTGGTGCTCTGTCACTGCAGAGCTGGGGGCGCTGCCCTGAGCCTGAAATCCAGGCTGGGATCCATCCACAGGGAAAAATCTTCCTGCATTGAACAAGCTCTTTCCACTAGACTTTTTTTTAATTTTTTTTCCATCAGGGGGTTGCTCAGCAATATTTTATTCCCTTTTTTTCCCCCCCCCCTATTGCTGAGAGGCTAAAACGCGTCTGGGAAGTGCTGCCAAACAAATAAATGAGGGCAGAAAGGTACCCGCTATTTATTTTGGCTGGCAGAGCCTTCTGCTGGGAATGGGAGGAGGAGGAGGAGAAGGAAAAGGAGGAGGAGGGTGAGTCAGCGTTTCAGTGCTGCAAAGAGCTTCCACCAGGCTGCTGCAAGCGGAGGTTTCCCTCTAGAGGAATCCGCCGTCCTCCGCTCCTCGTTTCACTGAGCACTTCCAGCATCGGGGAGAAGGGGAAAAGGGGCTTTTTTAGGGATGGATTATTCGTGGAGAGAGAGGTTTTCTGCCAGTGCCGGGCTGGTCACCAAAACAAAGGTGTTTGTGCCAAGGAAAGGGGTGGAACGGTGACGGTGCAATTTGAAAACTCGGGGGAAAGTCACAGATTCTGAGGAAACGGCCCCAGGTTGCACCAGTGGAGGTTTAGGTTGAATATTAGGGAAAATTCCTTCATGGAAAGGGTTGTCCAGCCCTGGCACAGCTGCCCAGGGCAGTGGTGGAGTCCCCATCCCTGGAGGGATTTAAAATCCCTGTGGATGTGGCACTTGGGGACATGGGGTCAGTGGTGGCCTTGGCAGTGCTGGGGGAATGGTTGGACTGGATGATCTTAAGGGGCTTTTCCAGCCTAAAGAATTCCATGATTCTTCTGCCTGGAGTTTGCAGCTGAGAGGGGCTTGTGCAGCTCCTGAGCAAACCCCGGTGGGTCCCAGCAGGAATGGGGACAGGAAAAATCCCCTTTGTGGATGTTGTGAGCTCACTCAGGACAGAAAGGAAAATTCCATAGGGGGGTTTCAGAGCAGGAAAACTGGAATCTGACAAAAAAAGATGGATTTGAGTTCTGTGTTTATAGATTTGGCCATTGTCAGCAAGTCCAGCACCCCATGAGCCTCATCATGACTTTATAAGGGCCTGGAGTGACAGGAATGGCTTCCCACTGCCAGAGGACAGGGTTAGGTGGGATATGAGGAAGAAATTTTTCCCTCTGAGGGTGGGGAGGCCCTGGCCCATGTTGCCCAGAGAAGCTGTGGCTGCCCCTGGATCCCTGGAAATGTCCCAGGCCAGGTTGGAGCAACCTGGTCTAGTGGAAGGTGTCCCTGCCCATGGCAGGGGGTTGGAACCGGATGATCTTTAAGGTCTCTTCCAACTCCCAACCATTCCATGATTCTGTGATGACTTGGGGAATGAAGACAGGATCATCTTGGGTGGGTTTGAAGGGACCTCGAGGCTGTTCCTCCACCTGTGCAGGTGCAGTTTGGGGTGAGGGGCTGCTGTGGCATCAACCTTTCCCCCCGAGGAAGGAGCTTCACCCACTCAGCCTTCTGGCAGCTCTGAAGGTCGTTAGCAGGGAGTGCTCATTAGGAGCCTGCAGCTGATTAATGCTCTGGAGCCGTTTAGAGCTGGAGCCCAGCAGAGCTGGATCAGGCTTTGGATGCTCTTACTCAGCACTAAGGGATGTTTAGGCAGAGTCACAAATCATGGATCTTAATCTGGACCAAACCATGGAAGCAAGTGCCAGCGAGGAGCAGGACGAGCAGAGGGAGGGCAGTGGGGTGTGACATTGCACCAACCCCACATCGTGGTGGTCCAGCTTGGGCTTTGCCGCCTTCTTTTTCCAGCTGGAAAGGAAAATTTACCATGTTTTGCCCTGTTAAAACCCATTTGTGGATGTTGTGAGCCTCTTTAGATCATGAGCAGCTGTGGTTCTCTTCTGGGAAGCTTAAACATGAGGGTGATTAGGGAAAAAGGTGCAACCACACGCTGATTCCCGGGTTGGGAATGCCGGGAGACGTCGGCTTCCAAGCAGAGACCGGCTCCTGGTCTCTCTGGGGTGGTTTGTGCCTAAAGGTCCATCAGCTTCTCCCATCACTTCTTCTGGGGATCTGTGCACACCTGTGAAGAGCTGGGCTGCCCAGGGTGGTTTTTCCACCCTGGTCCGAGCAGGAGAGGACACGGAGACACGTCGGAGCACGGCCGGGACGTTTGGGGACCGGGATGGGCACGGCCACCACTGCTTAGTGACAGCAGGAGAGGGCACCCACGAGCTGTCTCTGCCCACAAGTGAGCTGCAGGTTTGAGTAGAAATGAAGGTTTTGAGCCTTCTTGTGTCCCTGGATCCCTAATTCTGCTCAGTGGTGTCCAGCGCAGCGTCCGGTGGCTGCTGGAGCCGAGCCCGTCGCTCCCGGCCGCTTCCTGTCCATGTTTTTTCCACCTAAAAACTGGGATAAGGGGATTTTGGTGCCATTGATGGCATAAATAAGCACCTTTCCAAGGGTGATGCATGAGGGGGGCTCTGAAGCTGCCAGAAGTGGGACCACATGGTTGGGGCATCGCTCGTGGTCCGAGGGGCGCTGCTGGCTGTCGCCCTTCCTGCTTTAAAGCCAACCGGCTGCACCAGCCCACAGCGTCAGCTTTTGCCTCAAGATGGCATTTTTGTGCTTTAAAACGTGTCCAAGGTGTTTTGTGCATCCACAATAACGGGAAAAGAGTTGTCCAAGCAACTTTTTTTTGCTTGATTTTGTGTCTGACTCTGATCTTCCGGTGATTCCTGCAATCCCTTCCAGCAGCTCAGGAGGGAAATCCCGAGTTGTGACCCCAGGGCTGGACAGACCCTGTGGATGGTGGCAAAGCAATTCATTTATTCATTCCTTGTTAAACTTTGATATGCCCAGTGCTGGTTGATCCATGTCCTTGTTTCTCCCAAACCAAAAGTGGGAGCTCTGAAACTTGTGGCCGTAATCCCAATGGATCAGTTCTGGTGCTGAGTGCCCCTATCCTGGGGATGGGAATGCTCCTTCCAAGGGTGAATCAAGGGGATGGGGGCTCAGGAGAAGGGAGAGTGGCAGCTGGAGCACTGGTTGGGGTGTGGAGTGTTCACACCACACGCTTTGGGATGTGAAAACCACTGAGCCTGGTGAGCCTTCCTTGGGGGTGGTGATGCACGTTGCTGGAGTTGTTCCCAAAGGAAGGTCAATGAAATCCCAAAGAAAGGTCAGTGTAGTCCCTCTTGAAAAGGCAGCAAAGAACTGGCCTCCTCCAGGGGACTGAGAGTCTGAATTCAGGATGTGCTGAATCCCTTCCTCCTCCTTGGGGTTCCCCATGGGGGGTTTCCAGGCATCTTGGGATCTGAGGCCAGAAGTGACACGACAAAGGGCATGTGGGAGGCTGGGCAGAGTCCAGAATGGAGCCAGGGTCACATCCTGCTCCTTCCTGCCTGGCTCTTGTTCCTTGGCCACTTAGAGCTGTGCTCCCCCCGATCCTGTGCAAGAGGGAGCTCCATGTCTGCTGCCATCCTGGTAGTGTTGGCAAACAAGTCATGAGGGACTGGGGTAAGCTGGGAAAGACTCCCGTGTGCCTTTACTGGTTCAAGCAATCCCGATCCAAGGGCCCAGCCCGGCTCCTCCTGCACAACCTGCCCTTGGTTGGGGCACCAGCGTCGGGACCAAAATCTGAGCCGAGTCCTTGGGCTGCAGGAGGTGGGAAAAACCTCTCAGGCTCCTGAGCTTGCTGAGGCAGAGAGGGGAACGTGGAGGACTGTTCTAGGAGAAGGGCTGCCCTTTCCTTTGTGTCGTGCATGCCCTTTCCACGCCTTGACTCCATAATCATTGCTCTGCCTAACAAGAGCCGAGAATGTGTTTGGTCATTGCATTGCTTGGACCGAAGCGTTTGTGGTGTGTGTGGTGTGTGCTCACAGCTCTGTCACAGCATTAACCAGGAGGACTGTTTTGTCTTCCCTCCACAGCCTGGAAGTGTCTCCTCAGGTAGAAACCAGCTCAGATGCTCCTTCTCATTTTCCTCCCTGCTCCCCCGCCCCGTTTCCTCCTGCCCATCTCGCTCGCATGCCAAGCTCTAACCTCCCTCCCGCTACTGGAGACAGTCAGGCCGGATGCTTGTCCCCCACCAACCCATTCCTCAACTCCCTGCAGAGCAATCCCTTCTTTGAGGACCTCCTCGCTGACCAGGTACTAAATTCTCCTTCACCTACTCACTTTTTCTCTAGTTTCCCGTGTGGGCCGCATGCTTCACCAGAGGTCGCTGGGAGCTTTTATTCCTCTGAGGATTGCAGTCCCTCTGCCTCCCTAAGGCACACAGACCCAGAGAGGGAGTCTCCAGCCAAAAGCATTGGTGTCCCCGTTCCTGAAACCACTCCCCCATCACAAGGAGACCTTCCTCCTCCGGACACCAAACCCGCTGTCCCTCCGCCACTCTCGGAGTGGGACGATACCTTCGATGCCTTTGCCACCAGCAGGCTCAAGCCAGAAGGGAAGAAGGAAAACTTCTTTGCTTCCCTGGCAGCAGAGGGCATGGCTTTCATCGATGATGCTGATGCTGCCAGCCCAACGGAGAGAGCAGCCAAGCCAGCCCATGAGAAGGGCACACAAGGATTCGAAAAGGCCGATTCCCAAATGGGCGGTGAAATACCCGCGGCTCTTCGGTCTTGGACAAATTTCTCCAGTTTAGATGTGGGGGCCAACTTGGTGAGCACAACCCAGGAGGCCACGGTGATAGAGGACGTGCTGAGCCCCGTGTCTGCAGGGTCCATGGGGAGGAGGAGGAAGAGCAGCACGCCCATGGTTTGGACAGCCGCGTTTGCGTCGGGAAACTCCGCGGAAAAAGAGGCTTCGACAGCACTGACCGCTGGAAGTAGCACCAGGGAGGGAGGGGACGGTGATGAGGAGGAATCCTCTAGTGCAGGGACAAATGGCTGGATGACCATAGCCACCGAAACTGCTCCTGAGCCCTCAGAGAGCACCCAAAGCGTGGCTGAGGAGCGCGTGGGTCAGGACAGCGTGTTCGGCCCACGACCCGCCTTCCTCGGCGACGGCGCCTTCGAAGCCAACAGCGCGTCCCGTGCTGCCGCCCGTGTGCTGCCCAGGAGCACCTTCCCCCCCGAGCTCGCCCCCGAAACCCTGCCAGGCAGCAACGTGGTGGCCGTGCCCCCGCGGGTGCTGGCGGAGGTGGCAGCACGGCCGCTCCCTGCCCCTCCCGAGCAGGGGACGGAGCTCCAGGGCGCGGGGAATGAGGAGGACGCGTTCGACATCCGCACGTCGGTGTACCGGCTCCAGGCCAGCATGAGGCTGGAGGCCAGTGAAAGCCTTGTAAAGCTCAGCTCTGACATCCGTGAGAGGCACGTCGTCCTCTCCCCGTGGACGGGGACCCAAGAGCGGGAGGAGATCGTGGCCGGCTCGGCGGTGCCGCCCCCAAAACCTCCCCGGTGGTTCGCGGCCGCCGGCGTCGGAGGGGACGGGGAAGAGGAGGAGGCTCGTGGCCCACAACAAGGCAGCGAGGAGCGAGGGGAAGACACCGAGCGCCCAAAAGCAGATGTGGAGTTGCCAAGGAGCCGTGTGAGCAGCGAGCCCTCTGTCCCGGCATCTCCCAGCCCTCCTGCCCTGGGAGTGGACATCGCCGAAGCCGGGAGGGAGTTTCTGGTCTCCAAGGGTGCTGAGTGTGCGGACTCAGCAGCGAGAGCCAGCGAGCTGGGAAAAGGGGACACCTCTCTGGGGGAAGACCCATCGGAGATGAACGAGACGGATGTGGCTGAGCAGTTCGAGACCTGCGCATCCAAGTTCTCCCTGGACGGATCAGGCCAGTCGGGTGCTGAGCAGAGCTGGAGCCAGCCCCGTTTGTCCCCTCAGACGGGGCCCACAGACAATGCCAAGTGGGAGATGGCCTCCGCACAGGAGCCATTCCCTGAGGAGCTCAACGTTTCAGGACTAAACCCACCTTCCAAGCTAGGCCTGAGCCAGCCGGAAATGTTCTGGACGGCTCTGGAAGAGCAGGAGGAGGCAGCTGCTCATCCCGCTGGTCTCAGCCCAAGGTTAGCGCGTGGGGAGAGCCCACCCCGGCCGCAGCCGGCATGGGATGATGGTGAGGGGCAAGAGGGACACCGGCCTGAGCCTTGTGCCCCCATGGCAGTGGCCAGCCCTCCTGAGGAGGCAGAGCAGGGCAGACCCCCCCGCAGCGAGCCCGAGGGGCCGTGGCACTCGGCAGACAGCAGGATAGACTTCAAGAAGGCGGATTTCTGGAAGCCAGACAGGGCGGAGGAGAGGCCCAAGCAGGAAGCTCCGTCCCCGAAAAACCCCTTTACTCTGGCCCTCAGCCCGAACTCCCCAAGCAACCCCTTCGTGGAGACACCCCCAGACCCCCCCCTCCTCCCTGCTCAAGCTGCGCTGCCCGAAAAGCTTGACCAGGGCGACTTCAGCTTTGCCGGCCTCCACGAGGAAGCCCTCGGGCAAGGCTTCCTGCCCGCTAACCCCACCGCCGGGCACCCGCTCGTGCAGCCTCCCTTCCCGCATGCCAGCCAGCCCTTGGCCTTCTCCACCCCTTTCCTCGTGGCTGCCACTAACCCCGAGCAGTTTGGTTTCCCCTCCCCTGCCGTGTTCCCCGCGAGCCTCCGCGGGGTCCCCGCCGCCTCCAGCCGCGCAGCCGCCCAGCCCTGCCCTTTGCCGCAGCCCGGGGACACACAGGCTTCAGCGCTCGTGGTTTTGCCCAGGGAGACACAGCCAGCTGAGAAGCCCCTTTTCCAGCAGACGACCAGGTGAGCTACTCCGGGGAAGGCGAAGGGTGTGTTAGTTTTGGTAGAGGTGAGTCCCGACTCCCTTCCTGGAGGACCCCGGCGCGGTGTCGGCAGCTCCGTGTGCGTTGCTGCAGGTCCTCTTCCCTCACCTTCCCGTGGTCCCAGAGGGTCCAGCCTGAACTGGTTGAAGCCTTGGCTTTCTGGGATCACGGAATGGCCACTGGTGTCCTGTGTTTTCCCTAATGAGGGCAAATGGTTCGAGGCATCCACGATTCCCCCCCAGCCGGAAATTCAGCCACTGCACCCGCGTTTCCCTCAGTGCTAATTTTGGCTCCATCATCTTCCCCGTGCTTGCAAAAATAAATGCCTTCTCCATGGCTGCCAGGAGAGCTCCCGGCCGTTCGTGCTCTCCTGAGTTCCCTCATGGCATGTGCACAGCTGCTGCCCCTTCCCTTTCCATTCATTCAGCTTTGGTTCCTTTCCTTTGGAATGCCCATCAGGTACTAAAAAAACCTTCTTCTCTCCATAGCCAAAAAAAAAAAGAGAGTAGTTTCACCAGGGCAAAATTCTCCCCTCCCTCCTGCCGAGATGCCCGTTGGTTATGAGGCAAGTGGGATTTAGCCTTGAGGATAACGGGAATGGGAAGGGGGATCCATGGTGGAAAGAAGGGAATGTTCCTCCTCCCAGGCCAGTTGTGGGCTTGTAGAAGCCATGAAGTAAAGATGGTGAGTTTTGGGCATGGAGCTTTGCTCTGTGTCCTTCAGTTCATCAAGTTTTCCTGGTATTCCCTCCCCTGCTCTGCCCAGGCAGGAAAAGGTTGTCCTGGGCTCTGTCTGCCCAAGGATCAAGCTCTTACGGTGATTTATTGAGCTCTAGCAGGGATTTACTTGATCAGCCTTGCTGATCATGAGGCAAATGGAGCTTCACGGGGGCACTGAAATGGTAAAATCCCACCTGGCCCAAGAACAATGTTGGTCACAGCCCTGGGGAGAGAAAGGGGAGAAGGCTGGGCCAGCAAAACTCAGCTGAGCTCCAGCCCTTCTTCATGGGATCCTTCCTTGGCTTGAGAGCGGATTTGAGGAGCAAAATGGTCTCAGGAGCAAGAACTGGGGCTGTTGGCTGATAATTTTTCTTATTACTTAGTCCAGATCCTCAAATCATTTTTAATTGGATTATTCATCCCGCAGCAGATAACCTGGTTCAAAATTTGCAGGGATGGGATACAGAAACCTCCTGAACCTTGGCGTGTTTCATGGAAAGAGAAGTGTCCTGCAGTCCCAAAGGGTAAAATGAGGCAGTGAGGGAAGTACAAGACTCTCTGTGTCGATAAGACAAGCTCATGGTCATCTTCAAGCTTGGTTGTGCATCCATCCAAGGCCTGGCTGGCTCCTGGGATGGAAATGGGCTTGGACCTGAGGGCTGGTCGTCCTATCAGTGCTGGTTTCTGTCGTGACACACAGCTGGGAAGTCCTGGAACTTCTCTGCTCTGGTTCCTGCTGTGATTGAAGAGCCTTTGAAGAGTTTCCAGGTGTCTCTGGAAAGCTTTGAGGTTCTGCAGTGCTTCATAAGACTGGGGAGAAGTGATAATTGTCATGGGGTGAAGAGAGGAAAGCTGGAAGGGACCTTTTCCAGGTGCCCATGGCCACGCTTCCGTTTCCCAGAATCCTCCCCTGTTAGGATGGCACATGGACAAGAAAAGCTATGGCAGAAAAAAGGTGGAAGGAAAAAGGGAAGACTTCAACCTTAGGACAGGCATTAAAGCTTGGCTTTAGGGACACTTTTTGGGACAAAAGTGTCCTTTTTGTTCCATCAGGCGAAGGAGGAGCTGGTACCTGGTGTGGATTGTTGAGAGTCTGTTGTGCTGGGGTTGTGTGTCCTCCTCAGGAGAGCTGGAAACCGGGTGTGGGGTCCCATGTCCCCTTCCCAAGTGGCCAGAGGGCTCTGCTGGTCATCTTGTGTGGCCACTGGGGTAAGGTGGGTGCTCAGAGCATCAGCTGTGACAATCAGGTGTGTGGAGGGTCCTTGTCGCTTTAAGAAGGGTGAAGTGGTGCCTTCACTGCTGGGAAGGTGACTTTGGTGACATCCCTGGGACAGGTGGGACCTCAGGGACAGTCCTTTAGGGACTCTGCTGCCTTGGAGGGGTGCAGCAGTTGTGCAGCTCCTCAACCATCCCTGAGGAACTTAGGTGTGTGACTATTCCAGTGTGCCATGGTGCTGGCAGGTGACAGGACCGGAGACATCACAGGTGCCAGGGTGATGTTGGCACACGCTGCTTTGTGCCTTCCTCACGTCAGGGGTGCAGCACAACCATCATCTGCTGAAAATGAGGCTTCAGGTTAAATCACAGTGTCTGTGATCTAAATGCAGTCCTTGTAGAGCCCTTGGAGCTTGGAGAGTGGCCTGGCACATCCATGGATAGACCTGGGAGATCTCATCCCGAGTTCAGTCATTCCCTTTCATCCTGGAGTCCCTTTCTCCATGGAGATCTGACCCTTAGATGCTGTGTGCTGCTCCACAGCAGATCGATTCCCTTGGATTTGCCCTTTCTTGTCTCATTCCCTGTGAGAAGCATTTTAATGGGGTGATAAAGACTTAATTTCAGAGGGATTTTTGTCACTGTGCTCAGCAGTGACCTTGGGAGTGTCGGTGAAGCTGTGACACAGCAAGGCTGGCTCAGAGAAGGGGGACAGGGCTGGGCCACTCTCACCCTGAGAGGTTTCACCCAGACCTGTTAAGCTCCACCTTGGACTTGGGTCCACTCAGTGTGAGGAATTAGTTCTCCCAAGTTCACGTTCATCAACCAGCGGATGGAAGCAGGTCCAGCTTCTTGGAGGATCCATCAGAACTTCAGACCTGGCTGCGAGGTGTGAAACAGCCCCTGCTCCCCTGGAAGGACCTGGTGCCAACCATCCTGGGGCAGGTGCAGGGGGAGGAATGCCTCCAGCTTTTGGACCTTCTCAGAGTGACCAGTGGAGGGGGCAGAGCCCTGCACACACCACTCCCTGAGCAGGAAAGAGTGGGATTGTGATTTATTTTTAAAAATACCTTTTCCAGCTCTGCAGAAATGACTGTTCCCACTGGCTGTGGGCCTGTGACCAGACTTGCAGTGGGGAACATCCCCCTGCTTTCAGAATGCATCCAAACTATCCCACTGGCATCCCAAGGCTGGATTTTGTTCTGTAGAGTTATACTAGTTTGGTCCCAAGGTTTGGACACCTGTGGTGTCTCTGTCCTGGCTGTGGGGATGCACCAGGTGATGGTGACATTTGGAGCTGCTTATGTTCAGGTCTGGCTGTGATAAGGAGTCCTGGTGTCTCCCCCAGTGTTCTCCTCACAACTGCTGGACCGTTTGTAGCCTGGTGGTGACAGCTCTGGTGGTGCAGGGTTTGGTCCCCCAGTAGGGAGCTTTTGAGGCAACTTCTCCAAGCCCTGACACTCAGTGGGCTCCCAGTGAGGTCCATGGATCCCTCTTCATCCTTTCAAGCTGCCCAGGAACCCTGGGCTGTGTCCACATGCTTGAACAGCTCTGACAAGAGTTCATAGAATCACAGAGTATCCTGAGCTGGAAGGGACCCACCAGGATCATCCAGTCCAACTCCTTGCCCTGCACAGACACCCCAGCAATCCACCCTGTCCCTGAGAGTGTTGTCCAAACCCTCCTGGAGCTCTGGCAGCCTTGGGGCTATGCCCACTGCCCTGGGGAGCCTGGGCACTGCCCAACCACCCTCTGGGGGAAGAACCTTTCCCTGAGATCCAACCTGAGCCTGCCCTGGCACACCTCAGGCTGTTCCCTCAGTTTCCTGGTCACCAGAGGAAAGAGATCAGTGCTGCCCCTCCACTTCCCCTCATTAAGGAAGCTGATCCTTTGGCTTGTTGGAGCTGCTCAGTGGCTACCAGTGTTGTCCTCTCCTAACACATGGTTGGCAGGAGGCATCACAGTGGTTGAAGAGAACTTCCAGACCATCAGCATGACGGGGAGACAGTTTGGGACATCCTGATCCCACCACCATGAACAAGGTACAAGGACACCAGCCCCGTTTGGACACACAGCAGTTGGGATTGTCACCCTTTTGCAGGGTGGCTGCTGCACCCCATGAGAGCAGAGGCTTTGCAGAGTTCCTGGGTAGATGTTTGGATCTTTCCCTCCCAGGGATGGTGCCCAGGTTTGCCTGTTCCTCGGATCTTTCCATCCCAGGGATGGTGCCCAGGTTTGCCTGTTCCTTGGATCTTTCCATCCCAGGGATGGTGCCCAGGTGTGCCTGTTCCTCAGATCTTTCCATCCCAGGGATGGTGCCCAGATTTGCCTGTTCCTTGGATCTTTCCATCCCAGGGATGGTGCCCTGTTCCTTGCAGGAAGGTAGAATCAGGTCACTTCTCTTTCCATCCTGCTGAAAGCAAACAGACTTTGTTTAAGCGAGAAAAAAAACCTTTTGGGTGAAGAGTGAGGCAAAAATAAATGAAAATGTTAATTCCCCCTTAACTGACTTCTCACTCTCCCTTTTGGCCCAGTGGAGGGGGACAAATTCTGTGGTGGCTTCCAGGCAGGTGGAGCCCAACTCTTGGGCTGGAGCATCGCTGAAGCATCAGTGGTGACCTCCTACTCTAATTTTGGGGGCTCCTGGACAATACAATGCCCTTCTGGGCATCCTCTGATCACACTGCACCCGGGTTTGATCTTCCCATGGGCGCCAACACCCGGCAGCCTGTGGGAGTTTTGACCCACAGCATTCCCAGTGTGGAGTGAGCACGGTGTGGACGCAGGGCCTGGTCTGTGTCTCAGCCAAACACGTGTCCTGGAGCTCCTGTTCTCCTCTCTGGGTGGAAATGGCTCCATGGGCTGCCTGCTCCACAGGGCGCTGCTTCTCCTCGCTCTCCTCGGAGCAGGAGAGCTTTGGGCAACACAGCCGCAGGATTTAGGTGTGTCCAAAGCTTCCAAGTGGGTTCCATCCCTGTAAAATCCGCAGGGAGGGGCAGCAGTGTCGCTGCCCAGCTCGGGAGGGTGTTATAACTGTCCCACCTTGTTCTCCCCAGTCCCCACCCGGTGAAGCCCATCAGCGCCGCGGTGCAGGAGGTCTCTGCTGAGAGGAAGCAGCAGCACAGATCCAGCCTGACCTCAGCACTGAGCAATGGCCTGGAGAAGCTGAGGACAGTCACCACGAGCAGTGTCCAGCCCGTGGCCCCGACCTCCCACCCGGAGAAAACGGACTCCAAGAAGTTAAAGGTAGGAACCCTCCGCCTCAGAGGTGAGAGCTGCGCCCACACCTGCTCCAGGTGTCCCACAGCCGGGGGCACAGGGGCAAAGAACTGGTGTTGGAGGAGGTAGAACAGGGTCCTGGCACAAGGTGAGTATTAATCCTGGATCCTGGTTGCTCAGGATGGATGTCAGACTCCCACCAGCCTCCCTTCCTCCGTGACCTGGTCTCTGGACCTTCTCATCCCATCATTGTTCTCCCATTGCTTGCTTCGGTTTGGGGTTTTTTATTGTTCAGTGTGTGAGTGAATCCCTGGTTATAGAACCATGGAATGGTTTGGGTTGGAATGGACCTAAAAGACCATCTTGTTCCAACCCCCTGCCACGGGCAGGGACACCTTCCACTAGACAAGGACAACCCTGCTGCACCCTTTGTGGTGCCACAGGTAGTTCAGGTTGTGGGTTATGAGCATCTCAGCTTTTCTGGGGTGAGGTCTGGGTGGGTCCTGCTTCTCTATGATGCTCCAGCCTTTCCAGATTTGGAAAGAAGACAGACAGAAAAATAGGATTGCTCTGGTTGTCGCTGCACCCTGCAAACATTAAAGGGAGCAGGGATGTTAATTTGATTCATTGGATGTTCCTCTTGGTTTCTACCACAGGATCCCACCGTGCCGGACCAGTCAGCCAAGTATTACCACTTGACCCACGACGAGCTCATCCAGCTTCTGCTGCAGAGGGAGATGGAGCTGAGCAAGAAGGAGGAGCACATCCACGAACTGGAGAACTACATTGACCAGCTGCTGGTTCGCATCATGGAACAGTCTCCCACGCTCCTCCAGATCCCACTGGGGGAAGGCAACACCAAGTAACCTCTGCCCAGAGACCAGCAGCACTCGCCTAGAGCACTTCTCCAGTTAAACACGCTGCAAACATCCCTGCACTCCCCCCTCCTCTTCCAAGAGGGCTCCAGTGGCTTCCGTTCGCAGAGTTTAGCGGGAAAGGTTGTCTGCTCCTTCCCAGCCCAAGCTTCTCCCAGCTCTGGCTCCAGGGAACTGTAGGGTGGATGATGGGCAGTCGTGCACCCTATGGGGAGGAGCAGAGCCCTCCACCTGAGGCAGATGCCTCCTTAGGTTCCTGTCCTTGTGACCAAGTGCCATCTTCTTGGGCGCTCACCCTGCCAGTGCTTTAAGCGGCTCATGGACATTTGAGAGCTGGAAACCACCTCGCCCACGACTTCATCCTGCTGCTGCTGCTCTTCTGCCCACACTCTTCCTCATCTCTCTTCTGAAGTGGTGTCCCCTGGCTGGAGGATAGTGTTGAACTGGTTGAGGACAGCGGGGATGTTTAACCCAGGAAAGCTCTCCCAGCACGTTAGTGACTGCAGAGCAGGGCTGTTGTTGGATGCCTCCTCCCCTTCCTGCCCCATTAACCCCCCAGAATGAAGGGTCTGTGTCTGAAGAGCCAGCTCCAGTTTGTGCCAGTTCCTGACCGCTGGGAGATGCTACACAAAGGGACAACAATGGGGTTGGAGGCCATAAAGGACTTGATCCAATGTCACTGCCTGACCATGAGCTGTGTTGGCTCCTTCACTCCGTGGGTGCAGAGTGGTGATGCTGCCTCAGCTCCTCAAAACTCAGCTTGCAGCATGGAAAAGTGATGGTTGGTGCACCGTGAGGGCTCCAGGAAATCTTCCTGCTTCCCACCCAACCCATCCCCAGCCTGGCTGTGCCTCGGGGGGATTCCTTTGTGTATAAACCACAGCTCAATTTTCTACTCAGTATCCCGTGGGAATTGCTCTCCACGGCTGCCCCCACCGTTGGCTCTGTGTTGTCTTTCCCAACCCAACAGGAAAATGCCATTGGACCAAAGCTCATGGATGTCTGACCACCTGGCCACCTCTGCATGACATCCTGTGGGATCAGGCTCCCACCAAACACTCCCTGTTGCAGCACACATTCCAGGAATCCTGGCAGACCCTCTTCCAGCCACTGTTAGTGCCGAGCACCGCTCCAGCTGGATCACATCCACATGCCAGTGTTGGATCTCTTGGGCCCAGCTCTGCTGGGAGCTGAGTACTTCCAGCTGCTGACCATGGAGTGACCATCCAAAGGGCTCTGATTTAATGAGAATCCAGCACAGATTTGGGGTTGGAGATGCTGTGGAAGGGGATAGAAAGGGTGTTGCTCCATCTCTCATCCTGCCAGGATTTTGTCTAGAGAAGCGGTGGAGGGTTGGTTGGTGTGGGATTTGAGCTGTCTTGACATCTTCTCCCTCTTCTGTATCTCCCAAAGTTACTTGATTCTTTTAAAACCTCCATGCTCTCCTCTCCTTACTTCCATGTATGCCATGACTTTGAAAAACTGTGCCTTTTGCCATAGGACAGTAGCAGTTTCCTACCCAAAAAGGCTCTGAAATCCAATTCTCGTTTCCACACGACCCATCTGGGGCAGGTTTCTCTTCTGTTTTCCCGCTCATCCGAAGAAGTGAGTTTATTTTTACATGCAGAGCCTTCCCACCCCTGTGTGCAGGTACTTTGGGTCCTTGGCAGGAATCCTGCACAGGAAGCTCATGGACCGTGGGAGGCAGAGAGTTTAGGAGATGACACGGGGAGGGAGAGCAGGCCAAATATTCCAAGACAAAATACAGCTGGATAAAGACAGTATTGGGTCAGGAGAGAAGGAGGTTTGGTCCTGTCTAGTTAAACCATCATGTGAGGGGGAGGATTTATCACCTGGGAAGGTACCAGCCATGAACTTCCAATTCCTGCCTGCCTTGGCCCCTCATATGGAATAATCTGAGAGTTTGCACTTCTCTACCTGTTCCTCTTGTCTTTATGTTCCTCCTCCCTTTGTGTTTCTGGGATAAGACGTGAGGCTCAGAAGGAAGATGTTTCTCCTATTTCAGAAAGTCCCAGAAATATTTCTCTGCCTGTAGAATCAGATCCCGTGGCCTGAGCACCACATTCCCTTTCTGAGTGCCCAGAGAAGCTCTTCCTTTGAGCTGAAGGCGGGCAGGGAGGAGTTGTGGGCAGCTGGAATGCAGTCCAGCCTTGGAAAAGCAGCACGGCACGGGAATGAGGGCCGGGAGCAGGGGCAGGTGTAGCTCAAGTGGGCATTAATAAGGGGGAGGAGCAGAGCCAGAATCTCACACGAGAATCCCACACTGGCTCCCTCACTCCCTAAAAAACATCTGCTTCCTTGGAGCTCTCCCCCGGCAGCGTTGGCTCTGCAGGTGCTCCCCACACACAAGTGCCAATGTTTCTGAGGATCTCGCTGCACCTCCTCCCTGCCTTCTCCCCTCCTCTTCCATCGTGTCTCACCACTTCCCTCAGCCCCCTCTGCCTTACTCAGCTCTGCCTTTTGTCGCTCCAAAGCTTGAATGTTTTGCACTCGAATATCTGAAGTTACTCTCAGAGCTCAGCAGGCGGTGCCGGGAGTGCAAGAGGTGCTGCCCCATCTGCCTTTCCAGCAACAGGTGCTTCCACATCTCCTGCCTTTCCAGCAATACCTGCCCCTTCCATCTCCTGCCTTTCCAGCAACAGGTACTTTCTCAAATCCTGCCTTTGCAGCAATAGGTGCTTCCTCATCTGCCTTTCCAGCAATAAGTGCTTTCTCATCTCCTGCCTTTCCAGCAATACCTTTCCTTGCATCCCTTACCTTTCCAGCCATAGGTGCTTCCCCATCTCCTGCCTTTCCAGCAATAGGAGCTTCCTCACCTCCTGCCTTTCCAGCAATACCTGTTCCTTCCATCCCTTACCTTTCCAGCTATAGGTTCTTCCCCATGCCCTGCCTTTAGAGCAATAGGAGCTTCCTCATCTCCTGCTTCTCCAGCAATAGGAGCTTCCTCATCTCCTGCCATTCCAGCAATACCTGTTCCTTCCATCTTCTGCTTTCCCAGCAATAGG